CCACAGTCACTGAAGATAAGCGAAATCTCATTGTGGTTTTGATTTGCATTTCCCTGATGATTAGAGATGCTAAGCATTTTTTCATGTTTGTTAGTCATTAGTCTATCTTCTTTTGAAAAGTTTCTGTTCATGTCCTTTGCCCACTTTTTCATAGGGTTGTTTTATTTTTTTCTTGCTAATTTTCCTGAGTTCCATATAGATTCTAGTTATCGGTCCTTTATCGGATTTGTACCGTGAATATTTTCTCCCATTCTGTAGGTTGTCTGTTTGCCCTCGTGATAGTTTCCTTGGCTGTGTGGAAGCTTTTTTAATTTGATTAGGTCCCATTTATTTATTTTGCTGTTGCTGTGTTTGCCTTTGGGGTCTTCTTTATAAATTCTTTGCCTAGTCTATAAGAGTTTTTCCAACATTTTGTTCTAGACTTCTTATAGTTTCATGCCTTAGGTTTGATCTCTCTCTTTAAAGAAACTTCAATTATCCCCTTTTAACCACAGAATACTTTTGAATTCATTAGTCTGGAATTCAAGATTTGGTTTTCAACCACTTCTCCAAACTTCTCTTTGCCTATTCTCTTATAATTTACTTATTTCTTCTGCAAAGTTAGTACACCCAGAGTCCTAAAATCCATGGCAGAAATTCTTCCCTCCATCTTGTTTCTCATGCCATCGTCTAGGCTGAAAGACCCCCCACAGTGTCGCTTTCCCCTCTTCTCTGCCTAACTTCCACACAAGCTCTAAGGCTCATTTCAAGTCCCATCTTGGAAACCTTTGACCACCTCAGTGCCCACAGGGCTCCCCCTTTTCTGAAGTTCTGTTGGTGCATATATTTGTCCCCTTACTTGGCACTTAATATATACAGTCTTTTTTCCTTTTTTTGCAGTTACTTAAATTTTAAAAGCTTGTATATGTTTTTTTCCCAAGAGTAGGAACTATAACCATTTCAGTGGGCAAATATTAATAGATTCTCATTACCATTTTTCTGAGTTAAAATAGAGGCACATTAAGCGCTATTTTTATTGATGAGATAAGGAAGTAAAGAGATCTTATGCAATTAAAATTAATCAAGTCAATTTGGTGGTGTAGTAGGTATGGGCTCCAAATCCTGTGTTGGAGTTAAGTGTCATATCTATTACTACATTCCTTAGATTAAAACAAGCAAACAACCACAACAAAACAAACCGATGCCTCAAAACATTACTCTATTTACATCTCCCTTCAATTAGGGAAGAAATATAATTTAGAATACTTAGACTTGCCTTAATTAAAATTTCCAATCAAGATACTGGTTAGAAAGACAAAGAATTTGACATCAAATATTCATGGAGCAAAATGGTATTATATAAAATGTTATCTGTTTGTTTACAGTCTGATAAAAAAGAGAACTCTAACCCCATAGTAATGAAAACACCCTTGTTCCATCCCAGAGTATCAAATTCAATTATTTTCCTCTAGACAAAAGAATCACTTATGGTCATATGTTTAGTTTTCTGTCCCCTTTCTGGTAATTCTTCCTTGGAATGACAAATAGCTAGCTCCACCCAGGAACTAGAGGAGATCCCAGTCAATCTGGAATTTGAGTTTTTCTTATTATGTGTGAAAGATAGATATTAATCAATAGCACTCTAAACATCTGGAAAGAAATACAAAACTCAAAAAAGAAATCCCCAGGATTTTCAACAAATACTTTTTTAGTTGTTTTTTGTTTTTTCCAACAAAAAATTGCTTTTGTTTCCAACAAATAATAGAAATGATTGATTTCATTTTTCTCTAAGTCCCCTAGAGATCATCTAGACTTGGTCCAAAGATGAATCTACAGTATTAAAATGGAATAAAGCTAAGTTCTCTCTAAAGAATGATGTCCTTTCTCACAAGAAGAACCTCAGGAAAATCTACAGTAAATTATTCATATCTTTTAAAGTTTGCGTTCACCTTATTAAAATTGTAAAATTTAATAAACCATGTCCTGTTCAAATCTTCCTTGTAGTTCTAACATTTCACAAAAAATTATTTATTTTTGTATCCTATGATTTATTTTCTCCTCTTCTTGGCCCGTAGACAAAGTTTGATTAGAGAAAGCATCAAATCCTGGGTACCCTGAGCCATGTATCTTTGCTTTGAATTTGGGCAATTCTCCAATTCAACATTTATACATTATACATTAATTAACATTTATGCATTAATTGTGCATTTATTATGCACAAACATTTATACATTAATTGTGCATTTATACATTAATTGTGCATTTATTATGTCCTGGGCATGTTGCTAGTTCTTGTGGGAGCAGAGCATGTAAGTCACAGAGCTTGTCCTTAAGTCGTTTAGTATCTAGGCAGAAAGATGGGTACATACAAATTTTATACTAGTCACCTAGAAAAGCTATTATCATTGGTTTATAAACAAATGGAAATAAAAGGGAGAATTTATTCTATTGGAGAGATGAACAAAGGGTTCTGTAATAAGGTGATAATTGAGTTGAGCCAGGTCAATCCAAGATTATAGAAGGCCCAATACACACAGATTTTATAAATTAAGAGAAATCCTAGAATTTAAAAAGAGAAATTAGCAGCATTTAAAATGCTCTTGTCACCATCTTCAGAGACCCCACTGCACTTTGTATGTGTTTCTACTCTGGCAAGCATTGCCAAAGTTTTCACGCCCGGTGTGTCACTTGTGACACAGAGGAATGTGCAACAGAGTCAGAGCCATGTCACCTTTGGATTCCCAATGCCAAGCACTCGGTACACAGTAGGCAAAGTTTCTTAAAGGAGTGAATGGACTGAATATTTTAATAGCACTTTGCAAAGTCAATCAAACTTTCTAATTCATCTGTATTTTCAAGTAGATTCTTTTGGATTTTGAATGCCCAGGTGGCCAGTGTCTGCTATGGGATTCATTTTCCAGTGGCTTCACCCTGGTCTCACCTTTGGCTGGGTCAGCTAAGGGGAGGGGACACAGTGCAGATCTCTAGCGATCACGGTTGTCTTGTCACAGTTTCCACCTCCATGCTAAGACCCTCACTCATCCTGAATGAGTTCACACACATTCATACATTCCTTTCAAGATGTCTTGAAGATACAGAAGGGATATCTTCTCTAGTTTTAACATGCTGGGTGGATTTGTACCACTGCCACCATTGAGGAGAGCCAAGAGAGCCCAAATCACAGGTTTAAGATCTCACTCACACACACACACACACACACACACACACACCCCTCCACCATGCACAAAGATGCTACTAGCATGGGAACACAACATACAATAGCAAGAGTGCAAAAGGAGACCACAGAAGTTAGCTGGCGTGTGAAAACTAATGGAAAAATAATGGTCTGAAATGGGCAAGAAGTGAAATCAAGATAGTCGTCAGTAAGCATGATCACAGAGCCAAAAAAACACATACATCATTATTCTCTGCAAAATCACCTCCTATCATCTCACAGGAGACACTGGAATCTGCCTATATTTTTTAGTTTAGTAACTTTTATTATTTATGACTAGGTTTATTCTTTGCTTCCCAGATAATTAATATTTTACCATTAAAACTCTGATTCTAAATGCTATCCTCTTCTTGAGTGTTTATTAATGTTATTATTATATTTTATTATCTATAATAGTAATATATGCGCCATTTTATAGTGGAATATAATGGGGGAATGCTATTTCAGTTTCTAGAAACTGTATTTTGTAGTCACATATATTATAGGAAATACAACTTTTTCATTTAATGCAAGGAGAGGCAGTAATAGCCATCAGATAAATTATAATTCATTGGTAATATTTAAGATCTTATTTCAAAAATATATTCTAGAAGAGAAGACTTGGAATGGTCCCAACATAAAGAAATGATAAATGTTCAATGATGGATGTCCCAATTACCCTAATCATTACACATTATCTGCATATATCAAAACATCCCATGTCCCCCATAAATATGTACAACTATTATATATGAATAAAAAAGAGTTAACAAAATCCATTTAAGTGAGGACAATAAAAAGTCTACTTCATTCTAGCACAATCTAAGCCCTTGCAACTTCAGGTGTGGTCTATAGAAGAACAGCAACAGCAGCAGGCAGCTTGTTAGAGACACTAATTCTCAGGCCTGCCTTAGGCCGGTGAACAAGAATCTGCATTTTAACAAATCCCCACATGAGTTGCATGCACGCTGAAGTTACAGCAACACTATTAACCAATCACAGGGTTCAAGGAAACTCCACGAAGTGAAATTATTCCATGAACCTTTACTAATTTTGAGTTTCCTTTCAAAGATCCCACGTGCTAATTATTTTCTCTATTTTACCTAAACTTACATTAAGATACAATCCTGGAATTTGGTGGCCTCTCTATTTTTCATTTTCCAGCCAATCTGATGATGCTGTATGTTACAAATTCTCCCCATCCCCTGCTCCACCAGCGAATCAGGTGCATGAGAGGGGAGAAAGGAAGAGGCACTGATTTGAATTAGAACATTGTCTGGAAGACTGAAAGTCCTTTTCATTGCATAATGAGGATTTAAACCTGACTGTCCCCACCATGCTTTATTCTCTAACGACTGTCTTAGGCTCCAAGCAACAGAGTCATTTTTATGACCCAATCTCTATACCCACCAGCCCTTGTGTTTCGCACACCACGTGAGGCATTTCTTGGCTCGAGTTTATTCTTTGTTCATCTTCGAAATTTGTCACCTTGAGAAGCTAAGGAAAAGCTGAGTCTCCGGCACATGGTCACTGGTAGATATCCCAGCCAACTAGCTGACAACCAGAGGGAAAAGTGCCACCGTCTCCTTTCCTAAAGTTGAGTTTCATAAAGACAAGAGACTTATCCTTGGCCTCAAAAGCAAGTGTCTCCTCACCATGACCCTCTTTTTATTGGAGTGAGCCTGCTTAGTGCATATTGATGGTGACAGCAATGACAAGAGTCCCCGCTGAAGCAACAACAGGGTGAGAATGTGTGAATAAGGACCTAGGTATGTTAACTCTGTAAGTAAAAAGGAAGAGGACGTACCCAAGCTGCATCCTAGACACCCTTCTTCACAAGGCACACATCCTTCATAGTCTGGGTCTTGCACTTCACCTGCACAGTGAGAGGAGTGAAAAACAGAACTCAGTTCCACTGAGGGCAGACACATTAATTGCTATAACAATATGTTGGTGTGTGGCTTATTTTAAAGTAAATCATTAAGCAATTATGAAGCCCAAAACCATCCTTGAGGATATATATATATATATATATCATCCACTTTTAACCACTTCAGCACGAGCATCAACTATAGTCAATAGCCACAGATGAACGCGCACAGCGACTTGAGCCGACAGCCATGATATGACTTTTCTAATTTTTCATTTATCAAAATAAAATTGTGAACATTTAAAAATGATGTAATGAAAACATATATGTACATGTTACCTATTCTGATTTACATTACAAGTAAAGCTGCCTGTCAATTAAAACAAGCTTTCAGTGCTTTAAAGCTTTCCTCATCACACAAGAGCAAAACGGACTAGTCGTCAATGCACAGCACACACTGTCGTGTGGACCATGAGTGCCGGCTGTGGGCAAGGTTTCGCGGCCGGTGAGCGCTGTACCGAAGTGGTTAAAAAAAAAAAATCTCTTTCTATTAATTTAATAGATTGGATCAGCTTAATTGGGGACAAATAAAACCAAGTTGGACTGTATGCCATGCAACTAGTTTTGAAGTAAAGATGATAGATTTTGGGTGTGAGGGTGATCTGGCTGTGATATCTGTCACCCCCTCCATCACCAGGGTTGATTTGGATGATCTGGCTGGCTTGGTGTGTGTCCCCTTCCTCCCTCACGGCTCCATGTGTGCCCCTCCCTAAGCTGTGTGCTCTGTCAAAGAGAATGACCTTCCCCGATAGAGAGGACCAGTCTTCGGTCAAGGGTATACAAGTAGCTGTGCTCCCCTGCTAGAACCTCCAAACAAGCTCTCAAGATGGTAGATGTTATTTATTTAAAAAATCTACTGTGCTTTTGGGAAAATGGAATTGGGTATGTGAATGATCAGGTTCCGTCTCTCTTTTTATCTGTCCTTCTAAGCACTTTAAAAAAATGTTTTAAATCTTTTACTGTATTAATAAACATTAAGGAGAGACAGAAATGAGTGTCTTAATAATTCTAAAGAGGTCTTGGAGCTCTCTTCAGCACCAGACCAGGCATAATTCTGAGACTGAGCGGAGAAGTGGTCTGTGGCATTCTTACATAGAGCAGAGCCAAAATTATGTGCTGTTTTTAAAGTTCCCTCTTCCAATATGAGATAAGAAATTGGGCAATAACAATAACACATACGATTCACAGGCCACTTTCATATATTCAAGTAGTTTTAGGGTAGCCTGATTCCTACTTGCTTCTCACAGCAGCTCTGCTTTGGTCCTGTGGTACTTCCACAAACAAAGATGCCAAGACATGGGCAAATTAGACTAGTTTTGCCCAGGGTCTCATATCTAGTCGTTGGGAAGGAGAAAATTGTTGACCAGGACTTTGGGTCTCTAATCTAGTTTTTTTCTCCACTATGTCCTTTCCACAATTCCACCCTCCCCAGTTCAAGATGACTTTCTATCTGATCAGCCGCATTCCTATGACCTTGGATTGTGTCTGGAGAAACCTCAAGAAAGGGTGTGTAGGGAAAGAGAGAGGGGCAGCTACTACTGTCCCCACTTGATATATGGAGTCACACAAAGTCATCCCAAGTGCCTACACTAAAGCCAGGAAAGTAATTCAAATCTGTAGGGTACACCTCTTCCTCCCACCTCCTGGGGCTGGGCAGGGGCCCCAGAGCAGAGTACCTTGTCCACACTGTAACTTCCGGCAGGTGTGGTTGGTGGGCACTATGAAGTAGCCACTCATGCATCTCATGCAGACATGTGGGCTGTGGCAAAGCTCGCAGTTGTCCGGGCAGGGCAGGCAGGTGTGCCCCTCGGCAGGGTAGTGGCCTGCTGGGCAGCTCTCTCGACACTCTCCCTGGTACAGGAAGCGTTCTTGGCCATGCTTGTCTGACCAGTTAGAGGGGTAACAGAAAGAGAGAAAATGTGCAAAATTAGCCCTAAAGTTAATATACCATAAGATATTTTGTTGAAAAAAGATACCAGTGAGTGCTTTTGCTCCTGGGGGATCAGGAGTATAGGAATGGATTTAATGAAAAGTCCAATATCTATTATCTTTGTAGTTGAAAAGTTTTCCTTGCAGGGAATCATTTTCTAATATTGTATATATTTGAGTGAACAGCAACTACTATCTGGGATAACATTGCAAAACCACAAGCCATGCTCTGTGAATAACTACAATTCAAAATGTGTTTAAATCTCCTAAGGGCTCCTTTTAGTATCTGGGAAAGCTCTCAGACTTGGGGACTATAGAGAACCCATGAGAATAAACAGATGCTTAATGACAGACACATTTTATGAAAGTGTAATCTTTTAAAATGATTTTGAATTATCAAAATCATACGCTTGTGCTAACCACCTAAGTCCTGAATTTTTGCACAGCTGCCAAGTCCCACAGGGACAGCCTTAGCGAAGCCCCAGACCCAGCACACCTCTTTGACTCCTTTGCATGCATTCCTGAGGGCTCCTGACTTCTGTCGACATTGAACTCTGTAAGGAAAGAATCAGCAGTACCTCCCACCTGACAGACTATGGGAATTTGTTCCTGGAGGGACTGGAAAATTCTAATCAACTACAAAGCATCACTATTAGTTACAAAGAATTATAATTAGTTACAAATATAAAACAACAATAAGGTTAATAGAGATGCACCTAGAGGTCTCCTACTCTCACCCTCCTGGAGTTTTTGTGGGGAGTGTGCTCAGGTATCCATCTTCTCTGGGTCAGATTTACTATATGTCTCTGCCTTGGAAGAGCAGGTGATCTGTGTTTTGCAGCATAAATGGGGTCTAGTGTTCACTTATCATGTGACCTACCACGCGTAGATCCAACACCATTGACCTTTAGCCTGAGCAAGAGCAAGACCCTGTCTCTACTCAAAATAGAAATTTTGTGCTATGTATAGAGATATAAAAAGTGACTTTAGATGCCATCTTGTCTTTTTTTTTTTTTTGAGACAGAGTCTTGCTTTGTTGCCCAGACTAGAGTGAGTGTTGTGGCATCAGCCTAGCTCACAGCAACCTCAAACTCCTGGGTTCAAGCAATCCTTCTGCCTCAGCCTCCCAAGTAGCTGGGACTACAGGCATTCGCCACCATGCCTGGCTAATTTTTTCTATATATATTAGCTGGCCAATTAATTTCTTTCTATGTATAGTAGAGACAGGGTCTTGCTCTTGCTCAGGCTGGTTTCGAACTCCTGACCTGAAGCAATTTGCCCGCCTCGGCCTCCCAGAGTGCTAGGATTACAGGCGTGAGCCACTGCGCCCGGCCCCATCTTGTCTTTTCTCCTCTTTTTCACAAATAAAAAGAGGCTTCAAGAGGTGAAGTGACTGGTTTAGCCAAGTTTTCTGACTGCTGGCCTTGATTTTTTTATTTTATTTTTTGTTTTTTCTCATTCATCCCACCCTTTTATAGCCAAGTTTTCTGACTGCTGGCCTTGATGTTCTTTCTATGGAACCATTCGTTCCTTCAGTCATTTACAGCGCAACTTCTCTATGGCAGATGATGTGCTAGTGCTCAAAGTACAGTAGAACACAAGGTAGAAACCAGGGCATAGAGTCTTATGGGCAAATTAAGCATCAAATGTGCTGAGGCTTGTGAGGGGGGGAAGTGCAGGGATCCAAGGGTGATCATATGAAGGGGACCTAACCTAGACAAGGTTGGGGCAGCCCTGATGGAGGACATGAATTTGGAATCTAGATGGAAAGGGATGACATCAGCCAGACAAGGAGTGGAAACATCCAAGTGAAGTCTCTGAGGCTAGAGAAACTCAAATGGCCAGAGGAGTAAGCAGCTCCAAACAATTACAGTAATAATAACAGCAGAAATAAAAATAAGCATAGTTATTATTCATTGAGTGCTTACTATACATCCAGCCCTGCTCTAAATGGTTTATTGTTTTATCTCATTCCACCTCATTTAATTTTCGTAGTGACTCTAAAAGAGGTAACCGTTATCACCATCTTATAAATGAGGGAGAAAACAAAATGAGGCATCTAGAGATAAAATGACACAGATATACTCTTTTACAGATGAAACACAATGCAATAACTTTAATTTATACAAAGAAATGTGTTATCTCCTGTTGTCTTGGAAATGCATAATACTCTCAATTTGTTCTTCATTTTTCTTGGTTTTATTGCAAGCAAGAATAAACACAAATAAAGCTCTTCTACCAGAAAAAATGATTTCAGTGTGATGATGATGATGGTAGCCGCCAGCTCCAGGATAAGTGAGCACCTGGGAATGGCTCGGGCTGTGGGAGATGGAGAGGAGCCTGTCTTGGACTCCGGACAATGATTTGGGAAATGCAGGCCTGGTACTGCCAAATTTTCTGAGTTTTTAAGAGAAACAAGAAACTCAAAATTTTATTTAAAATTCCCAAATTTTAAAATTTGGTTCCAACTGAAAAAGTGTCATGTAGGCCAAATAAAATATGAATCTGGCCCACATGAGATCAAAGCAGGGGACAGCCATATAAAAGGAGGCCGCAAGAGGAGTCATGGGTCAGGCTGCAGAGTACCTTTGAGGCCATGGACTCCAATCCAATGACAGCAGAAAACTTGCAGAGGAGGTAAAGCGGGAACATGAAAGGTCACATTTGTAATCATTTGAAATGATGATCCTGTTCCTGCGGGGCTCTGACAACTTCTAAATGGCATAGCTCAGCTTCGAGAAGACCCTGACACAGCCTCTAACGTGATACTTCTCTCAAACACGTCTTGTGTCTTCCTTAGTTTGCTAGCTTTTCACTTTATCTCAACAAATCTTAGCTCCACTGTCTATCTCATGTCCGACCTCATGTTTCTAGGCCTTTCTTTCTCCTTCTCTGGGAAGACATCTCTTAGCTTCTCTCTTATCTTTTCAAGGGCAGTGAGTCTGCCTCTGCAACAAGGTGAGCAAGATTTCCGTGTCCTGACAACACGCAGGAACTTCAAGGTTGCACAGGTTCTCTAGCAAACAGCTGTCTGATCTCAACCTTCAACCCCAGAGATGGGGCTTCTGAGGCAAACCAAACACTGGCTAGCAGGAGGAGAACAGGCTTGAGGGCAGGAAGAACAAGGAGCAGCAGCCCCCTCACCTGTTCCACAGGAGGTGCAGTTGGAAGGCCCACTTCCCTGGCAGCCCTGGCAGGTGTGGTGGCATGGATGACACTGGTCTTGAAATTCAAATTTCCATGAGGGACAGTTCAAAACGCAGCGGCCATCATCAAAGATGCTAGAGGAAAAGCAGACTGTTAGAATTTAGCAGTGACTTTCCCGAATGGCCCCTACGTATCAGGACATGTGGTATTCATGTTTCACTGTACGGATTTGACTTCATTGTTCCAGAAACAAGGGGGATGCCTGGGACTGATCACTTTAGAATATGTAAGATATGAGTCACATACCCATCCTTGGCCCAAGATTTGGACCCAACAGCGGGCATGCCAGAAACAGGCTGGAAAGCAATCCTGATTCTGGCTCCAAACAAGCTAACTGGTGCCCACAGGGATTGGACCCAAATGGTAGGCCCCAGCCAAGTCTCGCCAATAGTCAGATGGAGGTCTGTAAACTTTCCATGCACTAAATGGGCCTCTGATTCCAGAGACTTTGGAAAAAATATTTTTCCTTATCAATCAGCATGCTCATGCTCTGCAAGGGAAATGTCAGCCCCAAGGGCTCTTGAAGGGTAGAACAAAGCACTACTCTGCTGCTTAGGTGCTACTTATAAACTTGGCCTGTGCATATTGCAAGTAATCAATGAACTCTGATTTTGAGTGTCATTTTTTGCAAGAATTTCCTGATTTATGGGGTATTGCAGTCTCTATTTTCTGCCTATGCTTGTGAATACCTACAAGGGCACTGCAGATGAGTTAGTATGTGGGCTTCTAAAATCTTTGGTTTCATACATGTACAATATATATCACAATGTCTTTGTTAATACTTTTATAGTTTTGCTTCGTTTTTCTTTGCAGAATAATCACAAGGGCAAATGTGATTAAGTAAGTTGTATCTATGAATTCTGCTCACAAAAATACAACATGTTTATCAGGTGCAGGAGTCAGATAGGTAATTTGAATAGAGGAAAAGAACTGGCTCCACCCTCCAGCATTTCTAATTTAGCAGATCTTAAGGGAAGGGAGCTGAAAATTTGCATTTATGACAAGTTCCTGGGTGATGCTAATTTGCTGGTCTGGAGGGCACCCTGAGACCCACTGCCCAGTGATAGTCTGGATTACTTTGGAATTTGCTAAATGGTTCCCAGGTAGTATAGGTGATGCCAAATTGGCATCTTGGAGAGCTTCCTTAGAACAGTAGTTATTGTATCAATTGTGTAGTTTAACTGAGCACCTAGCACATGCCCTTGGGGGCATAATGAGCTGTCCAAGCCCGGGAGAGCTGAGTGGGCCTGCAAAGAAAGGGAAGGGCTTCCTTCTCTCTCCACTTCTCTCCACTCAGACTGGACACCACACAAAAGAAAGGCCAGGTAGAGGCCTCCAGTAACTTGTACCTGGAGTGTCATCAGCTTGTCTAAACCCCGCTGTTTTCAGAGCTAGAGTCAACTCTTAACTGGAGGGTGGGCCATTTGTATCCCAGATTTGGAAGAAACTGGGGAGGGGGGCAAGGCATCCTGAATAGTATGTCACTTGTAGCTTTCCAGTTCGTTCATTCCCACACCCTGTAAGTTGGTGTCCTTTGCATCCGTTTGGAAGCAGAATGGGATTCAAGCCAGCAACCTGCCACAGAAGGCCACCTCGCTCTAGGATTCCTGGCCCCTCAGATTCTGGTCACCACACCCAGCACCACTGGAGTAAACAATCCTTTTGGCCCACTGCAGAGTGTGGAGTCCCAGATCTAAACAGACACTCATGCACATCTGGCTGTCCACATCAAAACAGATCCCTAGCACCATGACATAGAGCTTGAAGCCTGTTCTCCCAGTCCAGAGCTGTAGCTGATGGCACTAATGCCAGCAGGAGTATCCTGGTCCTCCCCTGGCTCTGGTTTCAGAGCTAGAAGGTTTTTAGAGAAATAATTTGGATGTGGCTAGATTAAAAACAAATGCAAAACCAAAAAATTTTCTATAAGAAAAAATCCCGTAAGAGCTTTCTGAGGATTTTAATCAAGGAAGCTACTTGATGTTCTGCCAAAAAGGAGAATGGGGCAATAGGGGTTCATTTTCTTGCTCAATTCAGGTGAGGAAGGCATGTAAAGTACATCATCATCTTGTCCTTTACAGGAAGAGATGGCAGAGTGGTTTGGGGGAAATCATTTCTCTTGAGAGAGGTGATCTAATGCTCTCAATGGGAACCATTTGAAACCACCTAGCAACAGAGAAGGAAGTAGACCGTACGACACTTCTGTGTTTATGTAGGAAACAAAGCTGCCTTTCTAATTTTATTTTAAGAAAGTATCAAGTGCTTTAAACCACCTGCTCCATCTCCACCCTAAGGAAAGCTTAGGTGACATACCCAATTTTTGTAAGAGTGTGATTCTTCCTAAAGGTAGAGTGGTAGGGATGACAGTTAAGCTTAAGCGAAGGCACTGAAGTACACCACTCCCTGAGCTCTCCATCCTCCTCAAGAAAAATTGCTAAGAAACTTGAAGAAAAGTCTCACTGCTAAAAATTGCTAAGAAACTTGAAGAAAATGGCCATAGTTTTCAACAGACACCAACACATTCTCCCGAGTGGAGGAGAAGAGATATTTTATGAAAGCAGAAAATGAGACTGATGATAACTTTTTTAAAAGCCAACTCCATGCATCTCTGGGATCACCGGTCACCCAACTCACGGATTCCTGAGACACCCAGACAAGCTCATCTCTATAGGCCAAGAGTTTCATGCCTGCTCCTGACCCTCCAGGCAGTGAACCCTTCTAGGTCAGACACGGCTGACAGAAGGGGAGAAGGCAAAAGAAACAAGGGCTAAAGAACTGGGCAGAGATGATCTCAACATTGGCACTGAATATTCCAGAAGCCTCCAGGGTGTGTATGTGTGTGTGTGTGTGTGAGAGAGAGAGAGAGACATGGCTTGTCATGGAAGAGAGGGCAAGTCAGAATTAGCTGGTCCTTTGTGCTGATTGTTGGCCTGATTAAAGCCATCGCAGAGTACTTCATATAATTTCTTGGTGCTTTAATGTTCTAACAGAATGAAATCTGGTAAAAAACAAAAAAAAAGGTTTTTTTTCCTTGAAATTCATTAAAAATATCAAATAAAAACATTTGAGGGTGGGTCAGAACAAAGGTAACTATTAAATGCTTTTAATTGGTTCATTGATTCTGTAACTCCTTTAGGACGGGACTGGGAAATTAGCTTGGGCTGTGAGGACCACAGAATCGCAGAACTTCGCGTGTTACACAGAGGGGCAAAGGGAGCTTGGTCAATTGTCTTTAAGGAGCTAAAAACAAGGGTTTACAGAAGTGTAAAGGAATCATGGTAGCTGCCTTATGAAACAAAGGCTAAAGCATCCCCTAGTTCAAAAGATGTCCAAACATGCAATGGGATTTCACTGTTGGGTATGGTGGGAAGTTGGAGGAGAGACACGACCTCATTTGGGGAATGTTGTCTGTATCTTATGGTGGGCCCTGAAGCTGCTTTAAAGCAAATTCAATATTTAGAGGGATAGATATCTCAAAGAGACACTTGGAAAGTGTTCTCACGGTTAGCATGAAAAATTCTTAAGACTATTCTTTTGTGTCTTCTTCCTTCCTTCCTCCTTCTATCTATCCTCTTTTCCTTCCTTCCTCATTCTGAGAGCTGAACCTATGAAACAGATTATGTATTTTATCTAGTTCGATAAAACACATTTAGTGAATTATTATTTGTTGATCACTGTGGGAAATAAAGGGACAAATAAACCGCAGACCCTGCTTGCAAGGGTATCACAGTCCTGAGGAAGAATTAGGACAAAATGACCACTGTGCAATGCAGAGGTAATTTCCATCCTAGAGATGCAGCGCACCTGCCCCCGGAGCAGCCTCTTTGTCCTGGTCTGGGGAGAGATCCTGCTTCTCGCGCATGTAGCAGGGCGGCGAGGAGGCCATTCCTTCAAACGCTCACCAGCCAACAAATATTAAGCACTAGGATCAGAGGAGCATTGACTGAAAATGCAACAGGCCTCCACCTCTTCTCATCAGAAATTCCCAGCGTCTTAGCAGAGGTGCTCATCCTATGCTCATACTTGCTATTCCCTCACTAGGTTACCAAACATTTATTGAACACCTACTGTTATGGCAGTAGCACTGTGGCCGGCACTAGAGATACAAAGAGATACAAAGACAAGTATCTCGAGGGGCTTACAGTCCAATGAAGAGATGGATTGGAAAATGAATGTCTTCAAAGGCTACAAGTAACTCTGAGGGAAGCTTATGTAGAGCAAAGGGGCATAAAAAGGAAAGTTTAATTCCACCGGGAAGAGGTTAGAAATGCCTTCATAGAACAGTTCCCACTCTTGAACTGACTCTAGAAATGAATAGGTATTCGACCAGCAGATGGAAGTGCTGGTTAAGGGATGGACGTGCAGAAACGGATGAGATTCCAGGCATCAAAAGTGGCATCAAAGGCACCATATTCATTGATGAGAAAACCTGTTCGGTGTCCAGGGACCGGGTCCTTGCAGTAGGTACTGCCCGTCTCGGAGAGAGGATGCTACAGTGGGGGTCTGTGGTCAGACCAAGGAAAATACCTGTGTCACAGACAGGAGTGTGGTTCCTTTTCCTGCAGCCCCTCGGGGTGGCTCTAAGGTGGTGAGCGCCCCCTCCCTCCGCCCTGCTATGTACGAGTTCCCCCCACCGGGAGACACCGAGCGGCCACTCACCTTGTGACAGGGCAGCCAGTGCAGTCTTCCTGGGTTGGCCCCCGGCACCGGGCACATGAGGCTTCACAGGTGTGGCAGTGGCCGTGCTGGTCAATGTATTCTCCTGGGGAGCAAAACCTAGTTGTTGACTTCATTTCCACATGGCGACGCTGCCTGGGCTGTCAGTCTGAGAGCGGCAAGGCTGAGAGCAGAGAGCAGAGGCCCTGCTTGGCCTCAGCGGCCAGCCCTGAATCCTGACCTCATAGCAACTGCTCCTCTCCCTGGAGTTAGAACTTTGAAAAGTTACGAGGCAATGACATAATTCTGAATGTAGTCAACATGTGTTACACATTTCATAAATACAGGAGGCCAAGGGGGGCTTCCTGCTGGACCCCTTTACCAAGCTCCTGCTGACTTTCCTTCCTATGAAAAGCTGAGGCCTTCTGGCTCGCGGAGGCCCCAGTTACAGTCTTAGTTTGAGTCAAGCCCTGAGCAGGACCCACCCAGATCTTGTCTTACCACCTCTCGGGGCCAGCGGTGGGGGACTTTGGTTACCGATCAGAAATGGGAGTTTTGTACTGGCTGCCATTTGGCAGGTGTGGGCTACATCTCACCCTGAAAGAGTAGCACTGGAGAGACAGCCAGAGAATTCTCCTTTGATTGGAAAGTTTATCTTTCCCAAGGAAAAACACAAACAGGGTCTCGCCACAGAAGCAAGTCCAACCTCACACATTTCCTGTGAGCATTTAAGAAATTAATCCCATGGCAAAAGTGGTGGAGAGAGGCCAACCTCACTGAAGGTGAAAACCCAAAGATGGGCTTCCACTCATCAAATCCGACCCTCCTACCCACCCCACACGCATCGTCCCTGCCATTGTCTCTTTAAAAATCAATAGACTTCTTCAGTCAGCTCCGAAGAGCCACTTTTTCTAGTTTGGAAACTGATCGTGCTCAGAAAATAGGCTTTCAGATTTTGGCAGAGTCAAAACCTTCCCTGGTCCCCACCTCCCCAGCGCCGACAGCCCTCTAAGCGTGTCTGAACCTCGTCAATCTGAGATCCAGCTGGTGTGGTGGTGGGGTAGCAGGACCCGCCCAGCGTTTAATCAAGTTGTCTCGCTGAAAATCTAAGATTCCCTGCTTGATGTATTGTAGCTGCATGGAAAAAAGTCCTGGAAACCTCGATTTGACTGGTGACGGATGGAGGGAAATCCATTCCCCCGGCCTCTTCCCCACTGCGTCACTGAATTGATACAGTTAGAATGTAAGTGGACCTTACGTACCTACATGCTCCCCTTGCTAGCACTAAACCACAAAGACGAAAATGATGAGACTCCTAGAGTTTGTGTCCCTACAGCAGAAAAAGCCTTTCATGTAATGTTGTTCTATTTGTTTTGTTAACTGAGAGAGAAAGCACGTGTTCCAAGTGGTGCAGGCATCTAAGAGCGGCATACCCTGCACACCCTGCAATCTGTCTTCTAGTCTTCTCAGCATTACTAAGGTACACCTTGGACCAGGAATCTCATATATAATTTTTAGGGTGGTACTGTGATTCTTGGCTCAAAAGTGAGTAGGAGAGCTCCAGGAGAGCTAGGCCCCAAAGAGGGTTTGAGCAGCAGAAACAAAAGAGTACAGATAAGCAGGTTGTTCACTGCACAAGGCTCCTGCCTGCCCAAATGGTCAAGTGGAGGCTGAAATCCAGGCCATGTTTGTTTCACCATGCCATGCACTGTGGCATTGGCTGCCTCTGCCCCGGTAGGGAGCACCACTCATGAACTCACATGAAGGTGCTGAATGGATTGGTTGCATGTTCTTGGTAATTGGTAGTCCCAAGGGAGAAAAAAGCTGGGCGCTCTGTTTAGCAGGAGTGATTGATTTCAAGTTAAGACTCTCACTTAATAAGGCATCACATTATATTTATGCAGCCTTCTTTTTATTTATTTAGGCTCCCCCCACTCCACCTCTTGTGTATTGCCCTTGCTACAGGCGCTTCCACTGCTGTTGTAGGATGCATAACCAGCTGAGAAGCGTGATGGTCAGTCCAGGCACCAGCAAAATTAAGAACAGAGGATCCAGGGCAGACCTGGTAGGAAGAAGTATATCTTGCTTACAGAGGTCAATGCAAATAATTTGTTTTTACAGAGCTGGATGAGACCAATGTATCTTCAACAAATATATGTTGAGTGGAACAGGAGTGGAGGAGAGTCACAGAAGCTTCAAAACCCAAAGACAGTGTATTCTAGAGAAATGTGATCTCATAGAGAGCACAGCTTATCCATTCATTCATTCCACGGATTTAAAAAAAAAAAAATCTACACACATGCCAGGCAGTAGGAGAGATTTAGAGACATACAAAGGATAGGATTTTAAATCAAAACATCTTAATCTGCTAAACCAAATGTTATTTAGATGGTTCTCAGCGTTATCCCATATCCATACCCAGAATCTTCTTTGCAATTATAGATGATGCATCGCTAGGTTAGGCAAAGGTTAACAGGATATAACTGTGAAAACTTTAAATTCTCTTCTGTATCTCCCACTTGCCTTCTCATTGGCTTCCATATGAGAGCAGGTGGCATTCATACCTCGGCTTTGCATTACCTTGATCTGCTCCACTATAATGACCTCTATTGGCACACACAAAGTGCCACCTTAGATATAATTAACCATAGGGATTACTCAATCTCCAAGATTTCAGGTTTTTCTTTTATCTTATTTTTTTGAGACAGGGTCTTGCTCTGCCACCTAGGCTTCAGTGTAGTGGCATCATTATAGCTCACTGCAACCTCCAGCTCCCAGGTCCAAGCCATGCTCAGGCCCCAGCCTCCTGAGTAGCTAGACTACAGATGCACATCACCACACTTGGCTAGTTTTTCTATTTTTTGTAGAGATGGGGTCTCACTATGTTGCCCAGTTTGGTCTCAAACTCCTGGGCTCAAATGGTTCTCCTGCCTAAGCCTCCTAAAATGCTGGGATTACAGGTGTGAGTCAGGGTTCACGGCCTCCAAGATTTCAAATATGTCTTCCAAACACACCTTCTTATGCCCTACTATGAGTCTACATCACTCCCACTGGCTCTCTACCACTGCATGGCCATCCCTTCATTCACCTTTCTCTATATCTCCACCTTGCATCCCCACTTGGGCTGGGCCAACCCATCCCAAAGCCCAAGTTCCACCCTAGTCTTTCTCAAAAGGAGACATTACCTCCTAATTTGCTGATGAGATATCTGAGTTCCCTCAGCTTCCTTTTTCTCAATATCAAAATTCCTCTCCATCTTCTCCTGACTGCTCACTTATCTTCTGTGTCTGAGGAAGGCATGTCTCTCCTTCTGGCCATTGTCAGTCAACTCTCCATCTGATGTTATTAATCTTCTCTCCTCGAAATATTTCTCCACCTGCTTTCTCTGTCTTCAATCTCTTCTTCAAGTCTCCCATCATTGACTGATCTACAATAGTTCTCCCCTAACCCAAAACCTTCCCAAGCCTTTTGCCTCCCTGATAAGTGACTCTTAAAACTTGTTTTTCCCTCCTACCATTTGGAAACAAAATGGAGAAAACTTCATTGACTCTGAAGCTTATGTAAGAGAGTCAGGGCAGGACAGCTACGCTGTGCAAATCTCGCGAGTCTGCACATCTCTGCACTTTATAGAGCAAGCTCTGGCTTTAGAACAGATGAAAATGGAGGGAGCTTCCCCCATTCCCATATTTATGTTGATGTCTAATTAGTTACATAAACAACTGCCCCCAGCCCTACAGGCCAAGTTTTCCAGCACACATTTGGAACTAAAGAAGTCAGATTCCAAGGACATAGGGAAGTTCCTTTTTTTTTTTGGTTGTTGGAGCAGCAAATTCTTGTCATCTGTCTTCATTGCACAACAAAGCTGAATGTTTATGACAGCCATTATATACAAAATTTTTAGAAAAAGTCACTTTTAGCAGAGACTTCAGGGGCCAATATTATGTTCTCCACCTCATCCTACAAACTCTTCTTTCTGGCATCTTCAACCATTATTATTGTGTCCAAATTATCTTTCTCCTGTGATCAAAAATTTTCCATTCCCCTTTAGTTCCTTTCCTATCTTATCCTGCAATGGTTCAAAGGACATTGAGGAAGTAGAGTCACACGGAGAGGAATGATACTTCAAAAGTTAAAAAGACAGCTTAAAAATGAATATTTGTAAATTAAAAAAATTTACAAGTAAGTGGCTTACTCTACTTGTTCCATCTCTTGATAACATTACAAAATGTTACCAACAAATCTAGGTTATAAATAAAATTTACAACATCATTCAGAATAGGAGAACATGTATCACATCATCCAAAGTTACAAAATATCATTGAAACATAACAATATTTTTGGGGTTTACATGGCTATAAGAGCCTCTTTTTCCCTGAAGAAATGCTATGCTTTCTTTTATACCTCACAGTATTTCTTTATTGATTAGAGCCTAATTTACTATAGAATTCAAGCAAGTAAATATGTACACTAAATAAATTAATAAATACATAAGTAGATAGGTTATGATGTGAGTTTATTTTTAAATTTTTTTTTATTTCAATAGATTTAGGGGGAACAAGTGTTTTTTGTAACATGGATGAATTGTATAATGCAGAAGTCAGGGATTTTGGCACACCCAACACCAGAATAGTGAGCATTGTACCAAATAGGTAGATTTTTATTCCTCACTCTCTTTCTACTCTCCCCCTTTCTTAGAATGACATGAATTTAAACAACTTTTTAGCAAGGTGATTAGGAAGAGAAGGTAGAAGGAACATTTGATGAGAATTCAGCTGCTCAGGTTTTGATCTGCTTAATTCAGTGAGCAACCCTGGGATATTAAATTATCTGTAGACCTCTGTGTGAGGCTTATTTATCTGCCTTATCACTCAGATGCCAGGAATCATGGAGTGTGACTTGACTGAATGACTCTACCATCACAAGTGCTAATCAAATAATACTATACTATCTTTTTTGCAGGGATGACAATACATAGTTTCCAACTTAAGATACCACTGTGTGAAGACAATCTTCATTAAAAAAAAACACAAACAACTATACGCTTATTTCTTTCCACCAACTACAATAAATACTCAGCAACACTCTCAACTAATTATATGCTAATGA